CATATAGTCTTCCTCTAAAAATCGGGCATTGGCGCTAACCACTACCCTTTGATCTTTAGGACTACACAAGTAACCACCTCTCATTCCCTTTGGGTAACCTACAAACAACCGTACTTTTGTTCTAGGTGCCAACTTATCAGCTTCCTTATCCAACACATGTCTTGGGCAGCCCCAAATTCGAATGTGGTTTAAACTGGGCTTGCGCCCGGACCACAATTCTATTAGAGTTTTTGGAATTGATTTAGAAGGTACAAAGATAAGAAGGTACGCCGCCGTTTCCAAGGCATATCCCCAAAACGAGGTAGGTAATGAAGCATAGCTCATCATCGATCTCACCATGTCCAACAGAGTCATGTTCCTTCTCTCTGCTACGCCATTCTATTGGGGAGTACCAGGCGCAGTCAGCTGGGATGTAATCCCATTCTCTAATAAGTATTGCCTAAATTCATTACTGAGGTATTCGCCACCACGATCAGATCGCAGTGACTTGATACTTTTCCCTTGACGGTTCTCCGCTTCTGCCTTGAATTCTCTGAACTTGTCAAATCATTCAGACTTGCGGCGCATCAAGTAAATGTACCCATATCTTGAGTAATCGTCAATAAAAGTAACGAAATACTCGAAACCACCTCTAGCTTGAATAGACATAGGCCCATAGAAATCAGAGTGAATCAATTCTAACACATCATTGGACCTATTCCCCTTGGCCTTAAAGGGCCTAGAAGTCATCTTGCCTTCCAAACAGGATTCGCAGACTGGAAATGGTTCAACTTGAAGAGAGTCCAAGAAGCCATTATCTACCAGCCTTTGGATCCTCCTTAGATTGACATGACCCAACCTTAGGTGCCAAAGATATGTCTGATTCGACTGAGAAGGTTCCTTTGTCTTCTTTAGTGATGAAGATGCATGAGCCTCAGTCACAGTATGATATGCACAAGTAATAGTATAAAGATTGTTAACCAACATGCCAGAACAGATAAAAGAGTTATTTCTCATAATAACAACATTGTCATTAAAAATAATTGAATATCCATCCAAAAACAGCATCGAAACCGAAATTAAATTCTTCTGAAAACTCGGCACGTACAAAACATTCTTTAATACTAAAACAGAATCAGAAAAAGATAAGTGCACATCTCCCACTGCAACCACTGCCACTCGTGCAGTGTTGCCCAAGCTGATGGTAATCTCGCCCTCACTGAGTTGCCTTCTTTGCAGAAACCCCTGCAAAGAATAACAAACATGATCAGTGGCTCCTGTATCTACTACCAAAGAACTTGTAGAACAAGCCGCAAAGCATGTTTCAACAACTAAAGCAAGAGACGTACCAGGAGCGTCCTTGAGGGGACAATCTGACTTCTAATGACATGTCTTGTTGCACTTGAAGCACTTGCCTTTTCGGCTTCACGACGCCACCAGAAAAGGCGCTACCACTTTGCTCCCACCACTCCCACTGCTCCCACTGGTTCCACCACTCTTTTTCTGCACTTGCTTTTTCTTCTTCCCGCCTTTCGACGAAGAAGGTCCAGCTTGTACATAAACATGAGCTTGTGGTCCCCTTCCCATAAGACCCTCCACTGAAACCAAGTCCGTAAGAAGCTCAGATAGAGTATAGCCCTTCTTATTCATGATTGCATTCAGGCGGATAGGACTTCGGGAGCGAGTGCATGATGATATTGATCTTGGCTTCGCCATCGATATTTCCTCCGAGCACATCTATCTCATTCAGATATTCCATCATCTTGAGAACATGCTCTCGCACTGAAGCTCCCTCTAGCATGACAGAAGACATAATCTTCCTCATAGCCTCAAACCGAACAGCCCTATCTTGCTCACCAAAGAGTTCCTTGAGGCTCAACATCATGTCAGCAGCAGTAGGCATGGTGTGATGCTGTTGTTGCAAGACATTTGACATAGATGCCAAGATGTAGCAACGAGCCATCTCATCAGCCTTATGCCACTTCCGATGAGCCTCCTTTTCCTCTTCAGTGGATTGGGCACTCAAAGGAGCAGGAGCAGGAGTGGTGAGCACAAACTTGTACTCATCAGCAACAAGGACAATATCCATATTTCTCTTCCAGTCCAAATAATTTGGACCAGTAAGCTTGTTTTGATTGAGAATGACCATAAGCGGATTGAATGAGATGATGAATAACTGGAATAAATAATTGCAAACGCGTAAGCAACAATTTACATAAATTGGAAGCATAAAATATGGAAACCTTCAAAAAACCATTATTTAATGCAACCCTCGACAACTTAACAAACATGCATGCAAGCCACGTTGGGTGGATGTTTACACATATATCAATTAAGCAGACACCCAATCATTAATCTCAATTGCACGCCAACCTGTCTTTATGGCGAATGAAATTAATAGTCGAAATTTTAACACTGGCCACGTGAATCAAAACAGGGACTCCGTTGGGGAGTTATATTAAAATTCACATATAAGTGATGACCACAATTTAACCCCAAGAACAATCATCCACAATTGATGAACTTACCGATAGGGAAGACACATCGCTTGTAAATAATTTTCTACGGTTATCTCGAAATAATCTTTACCGGTGAAGCTTATGAATGACAATATCCGTTAGGGAGGAGACCCCATGGGTCACGCGTATACCACTCACTTCACCTAAAGATTAAATCGTTGGAATAGAAGTCTTATCTAGTATGCTCGTGAATGCCGCATCCGTTAAGGGGAGACTCCCAGGGTCCCGCGAGCGACAAACACCTTACTTAAAGACCAATTGTGAAGGCCAAATGAATTAATTAAAATTCATATTAAACTCACTTAGTCATTTTTACTTGAAGGTTTTTAACAGCATGCAATAAGAAATAATAAAATTCCTATCATGCTCCTAACACGCAAATCACATAAATCCTAGCATGCTCCTAAAATTCAAAACAAAAGCAATAACAGCTTTCTAAGAATTTATAGCACCTATTAACATGATTTCTATCATGCCAAAAATTCGATTTAAATCAGCTAGACACATAATCAAATTAAACATGCTCTAGCAAAATTAAATCGCATCCACAAAGCGATAAAAAATGGGAAAATTAAAACACATCTATCGTAGTCCCTTTAAAACCAACCACTAACAGCCTATCAAAGCTGTACATAATTCAGCAAGGTCGTGGATGAATACTCGAATCGGCATCTCGCGTAAATCGGGCCATTCACGCAATGTCCGCACCCACCGACGGAAAAGGGCCGAAAACTTCATCTGGACGATAGAATTTGACCCCACCACAGGCTGTCACGGTAAAGCAGTGACATGTGTTGATCTTGCTCTCCCGTTTCCGAAATGGTATTATGGGCTGAAATCGGACACCTGTAGCAAAAGTTGTGGCCAAAATGGTTTTCGCCGACGAAACTGGCCCCGGTGAATGCTGAAACCCTAGCCGCCGCCTCCAGATTGATCATCTTCATCACATTCGACTTTGAACACAAAATTACAGCAAAAAATCGAACAAGAACAGCCCTACTACAGTCTACAAAATCGCCTATACTACCCACACTTATTATATGGTGGGAAAAACGATTAAAACAATACACAAGGGCTGCAATAGACACCATCCAGAAGCATAACGAAATAAATTCATCCACACCATAAACATGACTGAAAATGAATACACGAAATCAACTACATGTTTCAGGCAGAGCCGATAATCTACGAAACCGAGGCTCTGATACCAATTGCTGGAACATGCCGACGAGGCGGTCCATCCCACGGATTGATATTGGATACCAAACACATACATACGTGATTTTGAATTACCCTAAGCATGCTCCTAAAGTATGAACAGAAAAATACCTTTCTTCAAGGCTTTGATTCGATTTGAGTGGTCTTCTAGTCTGTGTCCCGACCACGTTTGGACGTCGGATGGACGACGATCCTCCAAACGGCAGCAAGGAGCGGATAGCCTTTTTGTTCTTCTCTGAACCCCTCACGTTTCCTTCCTCTTGTACGTTTTCTGTGGTGGCTGAAGACGTGATCAGTTTCTTAGGGTTCAAGAACATGTGAAATCCCTCCTTTTATAGAGTCCTTAGGCCAGACTAGGGATCTCTTAGAAGGTATAGGGTTTGGGCTCCCTACAGGCCTAAATTCTTATGTTCAACCCAGAACAAAATTTAGCCTGTAAATATTAATTCATTCCACTAGAGAATTAATATTGCACTCCCGTCCTATCCCGAAATGAATCAGGGCTTCTATTAGACTTAATATAATTCCCCGTTTTTAAGATATCGCACGTCCATTAATTATTAAAGCTTCTGACTGCTTTAATTAATTATTATCTTTTATTCCTTAAGTAGTACCACTCAACCTTATTATCGTACGGATTGAATCCACCTGCAGGGTTTATACAATAATCCTTATGAGTTCCTTAAGGGGACGTAATCAACCTGGATGTCCAGGACACGGTTCCCTAATGCCAATAAATAGATATCATGCAGATAATGTTGTTACCCAAGATATGGAGCATATTGAACCAATACTTGGTTCTCACCCATGGTAAATCAAAGTAACAGACAAATATCCCACATATCTAAGTATCATAGTTAAGGTTAAGAATTAGTAGAGTCACCGAGACCTAGGTTCTTCATGATAGTCAGAACAGAAGAACACGTCTCAACTGTGATCCATTCAATGTGACGCAGGGCACTAGTATAAACCAATAGCCAAGACAAGCTACATCCAGTTTATACTACAACCTATACCGATAGTCATGTCCATAACTATCTCAGTTGTGAATACCATTTATATCTTATAAGGGACCGACAATGTAATCTTCTGTGTGACTACTAACACACCACATTGTCTACAATATAAGGTAATTGGACATTTAGCAAACAAGCAATCATAAAGAATGCAACAATGTGAAAACATTTGTTTCAGTCAAATGGGAAATCTAATAAATACAATCCAAAAGCTCACATAAAAGTTTGATTTACTATATACCACAACACCTGGGGTAGCAGTAGGTCCCTATCTCTCTACGCAGCGACGAGGGGGCAAATTAGGTCGAGGCTTGTTGCCCCTAGTGTAGCGTTCTGCAGCCCCATGTCCTACATGCTTACACAGGGTGCAAAACGGAGGAACTCTCTCAAAGACCACTTTCTGGATAGTGGTCTTGCCTACTTGATCGAGCTCAATTTCCTTGATGAGCTCGTCCCTGAGATCAATCTCCACGCACACCCATGCGACGGATAATCTCGAACGGTTTTTCGTAGCGACATCAGTCTCAATAGGGTTGCCAATGCAGCTGGCAATTGAGAAGAGAGCAGAGGGGTCGAAAAGATTTTGTAGGAGCCCTAAGAGGGAGCACCACACCGGGACTATGGGAGATTCCTCTAGAAAAGAGAAATCAGGGGTGTATTTGAACACCCGATCAGAGCATCCGAAGACATTCCAGACACTATTGTATTCCTCTTTCAACTCAAAAAAGAGTAAATAATGATTATAATTGAGAAACTTTGGCATCACTCTACCCTTGAAATCCTGTTTGACCAGTCCGACAGATAAATCCAGGAGGGAGGGAACGGTGAAGGAAAACTTCAAGGTGAAAGCATTATCAAACGATGTAGCTAGGGAATTAACAGTGGGCTCGGGAAAACTTACCTTGAACCTGCCCTCCTCGGAGCGAGTAACAGTCCCACTCTGTTTGTCCCGAAAGGACTCCAACATCCATCTCTGTTGGCCCGGTTTGGCGGCGGTGGATGTGCCCAATACTGCATCTCGAAAAGACCATGCTCCGAGAGGCCGGAGACCTTGGTTCGCCGGTTGGAAAGGGAGGTTGGTGGTGTTCAGATTTTGGGCATGGCCGCCCCTTTACGAGTGCTTGCTGTTCTCCTCCGGTGTCAAGGTGACTGTCAAGGGAGGGCCAAGGCCTAATAAACCAGGGGCCCACGGGAGAGGGTGACATCATGGAAGAAGCATCGCCCGCCTGGGGCTGATCGACGCTGGTGCCGGAGTCAGAGGGGGGTACCGTCCGGCGGCGGGGAAGTGGTGGTCGCCGAGAGCTGTTCTGTCGGAGAGGACAAGGTACGAAGTCCAAGCTGCAGATTTGAGTTGGGCTCGGTCAGTTGTTGGGGGTTGGGTCTGAATTGGGAGGATGGGTTTTTTGAGAGATTGGGCCCAGTCAGATGTAGAGGATTGGGTTTAGAGAGGGGAGAAGGGTTTAATGTGGTGTTGGGCCCAGTTAAGGGT